ATATATTACATAGATAGTGTGTATACATATGTAGTGTTTGTACAGATAGATAAATATATATACATGGGTGTGTGCACACATACAGATACACACAGATGTTCTTTAGGCCATCTGTACCATTATTGCTGGATTTTGACGTTGACCTGATCTGGAGCTGGCTGGGTGTGATTACTGTCTTTTGCTTCAAATGTGTTCATCATACCCGCTGGGCTCACAGTCCCCACTGTAAACATCCTTGCCTTTTCTACAGCGCATAATCATGCTGGGCACTTCCATAAATATTTGTTGAATTAATAAATGAATGGATGGCTGAAAAATAGAAGATCAATCAAAGAGAACTGAATAGTATAGTAACTTGGTTAAGGAAGTCGGGTTATTTCAAATGTAGAGGGATTAGCTGAGCCAATGACTTTGCGTGTTGCTTTTCAGAACATTTATAGCAATTTGAACTAGTATATATATATTAACTCTGCTCCCTCAAACATGCACCTGCTTTTATTACTTGTTCCCATAGTCTTCTGCCTCATATTAACAGAAATCCAAACAAGATATCTTCTGGGAGTAAGGTTATGGACAAATTGCCCTCATTGTCAACAATCTAAAGGAAAATGAACAACTAGAAGAACCAAAACGTGTTAGAAGAATGATAAAGTTAACCATTCTTTACAACTGGACCAAGTTAATCACAGATAAAGCCAGGAAAGACATGGGGTGTCTTTACAAGTTTCTTTTATGCTAATTCATTATAACGATTTTATAATTTTTTTCACTCTAGTTCGGTGGGTTTCTTTCTTTCAATTTAATTTTTGCTTTATTTTATTTTTATTTTGGGGAGGGGAGGTAATTTGGTTTATTTATTTATTATTTTCAGTGGAGGTACCCAAGATTGAACCCAGGCCCTCGTGCATGGCAAGCATGCACTCTGCCACTGAGCTATACCCTCCCCCCACTAATTAGGTGAGTTTCTTTTAAATAAATAGTCTTTAGCATGTCCTAGCGAAGCAAGCTCCAAAAATCCCATAATGCTTCCGTTTCATTTACATTGTCACTATGCGGTTCTTGGTGAAATGCACGTCCAAAAATGTCCTATGAATATAATCAGATACAGGAAATATCTGATATCTTACAAAGTTATCAACTCAATTTCTCAATAATAATATTATGAACAGAATGTATTAATGTGTTAATAGTATTAAGTTCTACTATACATGAACTCTTAATTTAGTCTATAAAATTTATGTCTCTGATTTTAAGAACATGAGGTAAGGATATAGCCAACATACATTTTGGGTATAACTGATACCAAATCTGATCACACATTGTTCATGTGAATGGAAACTACTGGCTGGTTATTTTTTAGTGCAAAGGGAACGTATAAGAAATAGTTTCTAACTCTGAAGACAAAGCTTATTTTATATTTAGCCCTGATGAATTTCCCATCACTGTTAATGTTCTGTTCTTTCTACCCTATAGGCTAAAAATATTTAACTTAAAAGACTATAGTCAGCTGAGATAACTCACCAAACTTTTTTGTTAATTTGCTTGTATATGGATACACGTATTTTGATTTTAAGCCAGACACAATCTACACATGCAAGAAAACATCCTGACTGAAATGTGGTGTTGACTTCGTGATGCCCATGATGTACCTGGGATGTAACCTTAAAATTCATGTTGCGTTGGTGCCTTTTTCTCTTTCTTTTCTTTTCTTCCTTCCTTTTATATGTCCCTGGCTTAAAAAGCAGGAACATGTTTTAGGCCTAAGGCTTTATGTTAATACAAGGGATTGTTATTTATTTATTTTTTCAACCAACTTAGAGATGACCTATACAAAAGAAAGCCAAGCAAATGATGGGTGTATCTTGGGCTCATATTTAATGAAGAATTTAAGAAAAGAGCTAATCTGATAATGAATAAATCTCTTCATAGCCACTACTATGATTGAGAAGAAAATGACTCAACACTTCCTCACGCTCTCATGAGTCCATCACACTCTCCTAAACAGTTATTTTAAGACCATTTTCAAAACTTATGTGTAGATATTTAAGAGAAAGAAGTGTTGAAGGTGGCTAGGGTTAGTGTTTGGCAGTTCTTACGGTCATGTTTTAAATATTTTTAATATCAAAATGCTTTTATTCTTAGGTTTCCCACCTTCTTTGTCATCATATTAATTATGGGTGGTATGACTGATTTGTGTTGGTATGATGAAGAGCAAGAAGGTAAGACAGCAAACATGTATTTCTTCAGGATACGCTAAAGAGGAGTTTGCTAGAGATACTGCCAACATTCACAGTAACAGGCCCACCAACGTCCTGGGAGTAGTAAAGAACTAGGTATACGTTCTGGGCATGGAACTTTAGTCTGAGTTCTCTGCAAGTTCAAGACTCATCCCAGGGGTGGGGAGAGAAGATGCTGAAGTCTCCATTGGGGAGCTACTTATTTTTCCTTCATGGACTTAGAATAATCTTCCTTAAAACAGACTCCATAGAGATGGTTGTTGTTTGGACAGGAATAGCTGCTAATGTTTCCTACTGTTAGTTCGTGCTCTTGACTAAGGGTCTTTCCTGGATCCAAGATGGAACCCAGCTGGGCTGGAACTCCCAGGCTGGTAGTCATTTATGCTTTTTGTTAGTTCTCTCAGTGATTATAATAGGTCAGTCTAGTATGTTCCTCTTTGTCTACTGTTCTTTATGACATACAGTCCGAGCCAATGGGATAAAAGAGAGGGTATTTTTCAGGAAAATAAAAAATCATAACCAGCAAAATCAATAGCGACCTACTGGAGGACATGTTCATTATGAGTATACTGAGGACAGGTCTGTTTAGTCAAAACCAGTAGAAACAAAGGAGAAGACAGAGGTTAAAAGGAAGAGGGATATATGGGGGTGGGGAAAGAGGAGAGGGAGGGACAAAGAGAGGAAGATAGATGTCATGGATAACGTTCTACAGAGACATTCAGAAACTTTGATTTCTCTATCAGCCAACTGCAAATGGGTATGATAGACCTTGTTTTATTTCTTAAAAATTTAGGCGTGGTTTCTCTTCTATATTTCAAAGCTTAAAATATTAGACTAATAAAAGTTCAAATGAACGTGTGCTTTGAAAGACACTAGAGGTAGCATCTAACCGTAGGTTCTATACTTAGTATGGTTTGGTTTATGATTTAGATAAAAACAATATTTTTAAAAGGTTAAAAATTGTTAGCACATTATTGTGTAATTATATTCAAAGAAAGAAAGAAAGAAGATGTGCTGGCCTGAAGTCTATAAATGGAAGAGAGACTGGTTTTCTCTTTAGGTTGTATGTATATGTTGTATGTGTAGGATTCTTGGCTCTTTCTTTATCAGGCGGTCCACTAATCTGAGAAAACTTTGGAGTAGTCTTTGTGATAAAATAAAAGAGCATTTTACAAGAGCCACACTGAAGCAAAATTCCAAGACGAAAAAGTATGGATGGAAGCACTGTTTATCATCACTCAAGTTTCTTAAAACTTCCCTTCTTTCTGCTTTAATGATGTGCCAATTCAGCTGTCTCCTCATTACCTTAAATAACTGGCAAGAAAACGAAGTTCTGTTAACCAGAACAAGAATTTGGCAGAATCAGTGGCAGAAAGGTTTTCCCCCTGGCTTTTTATGACTACCATGACAGCATTTCACATTAAATTGACCCCCAAAGATAAAGCTCTAGGATGGACAAAGGGATGCTGATCTACATTTTCCTTTGCCTTGGTTTGATCTTTATCTCACACACCAGCATCCCTAGAAGGACATTTCTCTTCCAGTTTGATTGTATACTTTTCACAGCAACTAGAAGTTGCCACTGGTGTGATGAAACAGTACTTTTTCCTTAGCTCATACTTTTTAACTGATTCCTGCTTGCCTCTCCTCATGAATTATTTAAGATAATTCTTCAGTCCCATGTTTTAAAAAATCTACTTGAAAGAAAAGTCAAAGGAGTTTTGGAAATGATCGTTGAGTTAAAAATATCGAGCAAATTAACTAGCCACCTCTATTTACTTCTCTGCTAAGAACAGAAAGAAATGACTCCAGTGCCTTGCTTTGCTGGGGTTTAATATCCACAGAACTTGCCATCTCCTTTTTAGAAGATTTTGATCTTTTAGTCTAATGACTCACGACAGAAAAGGCAATGATAACTGGGGTACCTCTGCTTTTCTAAGTCATCTGAAACTCTTTCACTTGGGAAAGGGCCGTATAAAGCAATCTGGGTCTCATTGATTGAATATAGATATTTTTCAGCAGGAGAACTACTGGCAACAGAACACCTTTTCTTTTGGAAATCTTCTTTAGGGAGCTATGGAAAGATTAAAGATGTAAGAAGAAATGCTGGCTTTTTCAGATTTTGCTGACTCTCTAGCAGGGTCCTTATTGTTTTCAATGAAACTATGAAACGGGGGGATGTGTAATAAAACTGCACAATTTGACAGACTTAGACAGCTGGCTCCCTCACAAGAAGTTCACATTTTGTTAATGTCGCCCACGTTGAATAAGAGACGATTCGATGGTTAAGGTCCATTTACAAAAATGGTTGTCAGGACATTTTTTTTTTTTAATTGTAAAACTTTCTGTGATGGAATTCAGTCAAAGGGCTATGAAGAGAAAGCAAAGGGGACAAAAGACGGCTATTAACCTACAGATGCAGGCTACCGCAGGGTTCACTGCAAGATCTGTCACGCTGTTGGGCCAATGAAGTGTGAGTGTGACTAGAAAGGACCACCCCTTTTCTGGGGTAAGAGGGCAATTTGGTCTCCATGCTCATTTAATCCTGAGACGTCTTTGAATAGACTGTCCATTGAATCTAAATTGTGCAAAATTATGCATGCACTTTTTAATGCGGGCTATTGTTCCCTCAGCACTGCACCAAGATTTGTCCACCCATTTCTATTTGGCATGAGGTCACTTGAAACTTAGTAATCATATATGGAAGACAAGCGCAGTGGACTTAACCAACCTTTCTATATCGTGGTTTCTCACTGTGCTTTAATTGCAAATCTCTCACTTTGAAACATGAGAAAAATACTGGTTACAAGATTTGCTTTGATTTTTTTTTTTTAATTGAGGCTCCTATTCCTAAAGGTAAGGAGCAGGTTTGGGAAGTGGGGCTGTGCTGCAATGATCTGTCCTACTCTACAATTTAGATTCTGGAGGAACAGATGTTTAGAGAAGGACCACCTAGAGTGAGTGTGCACGTGTCACGAGGAGATCCTTTTCCAGTAGTGCAAAGGGGCCTGATATTTTTGTTATAATCCAAACGTGGCAGGCTGGCCTCAAAAAACCAGGAAGAAAAGTATCTACCAGACTTTTTTTTGCAGTTTTAAGTTAGAACATGGCATTTCTTTAAAAACCTGAACAGAACATTGACAGAACATTTATTCATACATGAACCAAAGAGGATTTTCCTTGCGTTCTGAAGGAACATATACATTAAAAGTCATATTTGGCAAGAATGATCATATTCAAAATGTGCACAAGTGACAGCTTACAGAGCCAAGATCCGTTAAAAATGAGTGAACTCTTCTCCAGTGAGGTTTGATTCAGTGTGAAATCTGCAACATTCTAATCACATATACTCTTGACAGTCTTGCTATGGTGAAAAGCACTTTACAAATGTTTAATGCTGGAATTTTATAAGGATTGGCTGTTTTCTTGCTTTTTCATCCGTCGTTAATGATTACATGTTGGCACAGGGACACATTGCTAGATTAGAGCCACAGCACATTAAAGGCTGTTTGCTTTCTCACGCCCCTTCTTTCCAATTAAGTTGGTGACAAATGTAACCTTAGTATTTTACAGGACAGGGCATAGGTGTTTCATCTAGGTGACGTCTATATTATAAAAATAAAATACAAAATATAAATATGTAACACAAACCCAGTGCCTCTTGTTAAATACACTATACAATAAAAGCAGACCTTTTAGGAGGGCTGATTTTAGAATATGCTGTTCTGATTTAATTATAAAACACTTGAAAACAATCTTGAAATTAAGCTGGGGGAACCAGATTTCTCCACCAATAGAAAGGTAAGTGCGTAACATTCTGCAATTGGATATAATAACAAAAATGAAGATTACAATTTTATATCGTTGCCCACTCAGAAGTTCCTCAGGGAGTTCTGAAACATTCTCTTATATCATAGTCCTTTAATATAAAAATATGGCCTTTTTTAAATTAAATCCATCAGATTGCACAGTAATGTTTTAAAACTCCGTCGAAGTTGACTTTAGTGATTACAGACAGAAAATTCCTGGGAAGTCATGTAATCTCTTCTAGTGACATAAAAATTCCGTTATCAATTTACAATGGAATTTCCGGATAAATTACTCCACACAGGGCAATATATATTTTTAAAACCCATCTGTTATGCAACCACACGCCTAGGGGTTGTGAGTGTGTGTGTGTACGTGCATATGTGAACAAACGTGCCAATATACACACACGGGATCTGCACATTTCTGGAAATGACTTTTAAATTAATCAAAGAAAATGAAATCACAGGAGTGTGTAGCAGGATAACAGTCGTTCTTTTTAATGACAGGATAAAAAATAAATGCCCATTGGAAAGGAATATTCAAACAGTCCCAGAAACTATACAATGTAACTTGTTAGATCCAGCAAATAAGATGTCATGTCAATGATCTGATCAAGAATACCTGCCCTGGTCACTCTGCGGAGGTTTCTGTCCACTTGTTCACACTGAGGGCCAAGATATCCTTTTTTACAGAGGCACTTGTTGGGTCTAACACAGACACCACCATGGCGACACGCTGGCTCACATTTCGCTAGGGAAAAAAGAGCAATAAAATCACACTCCATTCTGGAAGTCAGAAACAGCACTGAGTATGAGGTCAATAAATATCTGACGAGGAAGGGAAGGGGCGGGAGAGGAGGGAGCCGGTCCCAAAATGATCCAAAAGATAATAAATGCGAAGAAATAAGGCTCTCACGCCTTCAGTCATTGGGAAGCCAGAACTCAGAAGCTAATGGGAGACGTTTGTAGACAAATGGATCATCCAGAGAAGCAGAGATCAGGAAGGAATGTCAATCGCTCGTAGAACTGACTCTGCTTAAAATGAGGATTTTAGTTCCTTCAAAGCTCTGCTCCGTTAGGGTATCTCCAACAGAGGGCCTTCCAAGTATCTCTATGTTCCCATTCCCTTCCCCCAGGATCTCCCAGTGGGAAGGGCGTGGCCAGAGAGGAAGGCCCAGTGCCTGGAGTATCACCAAGGCAATGTTAAGAAATGGTCAGTTTCCGATTTTGGTTGGAGGGAGGATCCACCACGTGGATTCCCTTGGCTTCCTCCCCTTCCCTGCTCCCAGGTGGTGCACGAAATATGCCTCATCTCTGATTACACCTTGAAGCCCCTTCTTGGGGTCAGTGCGGTTGGCCCATGAAAGATGTTCAAAGCCATCCTTTTCAGGGAACAGGATGTCTTCCTAACAGAATGTTTACCATTATAATATAGGTAGAGAATGTAAAGATTTACTGCTAAAAGGAGATGGAGACATTAAATTCAGTATATAACTTAATTGTCCCTAAATGGATCTGAGATGTGCAGCCACTGTAGACAGAATCAAATTCCTTGAATATATGTCTTTATACTTTTAGGGCACAGGGTTATTTTAACCTTTTCCAGTGCATTCATCAAAATTCAGGGGTCCATGGCAGACATACGGGAAAGAAAGAACAAGGAGAAAATAGACTAATACAGTCTTTTAAATTCATGGGTGATGAGTAAAAGTTTTTGCTTGGGTCAAAAATACTACAAATATGTTACTTTCATAAAATGGTTCTGGTTTATCTTATATGTTCAAATTATTTAAATTGACTTAGTGGAAAGATTAAAGCACCTTATTGAAAGAAAAGTGCATATTAATTGAAAGAATGTCTATTTTCATTTATATCATGTTATTAATAACTATTATGGTATGTATCATACCACCTATATTGAAAATTATTTGTTTACCTTCAGCTTAACATACTGCTATTAGAAGGCACTGAATAATATTTACTATCTGATGACTTGAGGTGACTTAAGAGGTTAGCCAAAATGTAAGTAAGGACTAAAACAGCAGAGATACTAACCACATAAGGGAAGCAGAGGGAAGATACATTATCAGGGATTAGAATATTGTTGCATTTGAACACTGATTCTCATTTTTTGGCCAGCGAATGAAAAGGAAGACAGAATGGTCATAGAATGTAAGCATTTGTTTTAAATATTGTAATTACTTAATTCCTGTTGAGTTTTCATTAGGATAGTTCTTTCTGAGATACATAACCATAGTATCAATCAATCACGTAAAATATTAGTGCTGAAGCAATTTAAGCTTAAAATGTATACTGCATATGTGACTTGAAATGTTGTGTCCTTTTTAAAGACAACATATAAAGTAAACAAGTGATGGTTATAATATTTTTGAAACAAATACATGTTTCGAATAAAGATGGCCTTTATGAATTAAGGATAACATTAAATATTAACTTGGGACTTTTAATTTTCATTAGCTTTAATATTTGAAGTAGTAGAGATCAAAATCTTTTGTAAGTAATATGTGCATGCTGGTTGTTGAAAATGTACTTGCAGCAGAACACCTCTTGAACTCCAGGTATAAATTCATCTAATTTTCTCACTTCACACCAAGTAGAATTTAAACATGATTGCATGTGATTGCGGAAGTCTCAAATTAAAGGAATAAACCTCCTTTGCTCTCTCTGAGCAGCTGCACACTTAGTTGATGATTCACAAGGGAGTGGCAAAAAAGAATTAAAAAATCTCATAATATGCCTCTAGATAAGTGCATTTTCCCCGTTTATATAAAAACACCCATTGAAAACCCCTGTTTTCAGTGCGCTGCAGCAAGAGAGCAAGCAGTAAATTCAGTGAGGGCATTTATGGAGTGTCCGGAAAATGCTGGCATCTAGAAAGGGACTTTGCAAACACCAGGTCATTGGCTGGTGTGAAATCTCAAACTCAGGACTGAGAGCCCACAGCGATGATCTAAGTTGTGCTGCTTTCATTTTCTACTTTGGGAATGAACTCAATCATGTTTACAATGAACTTACATAAGTGAATTGTTTACATTAGGAAAATGGCAAAGATTTCATGTACAAGTTCAGAAATCGATTAAGCATTACTATGATTGGAAATGCCAATTTTGAACGCTAGATAATTTTAAAGGAAACAACTGATGTTAAATCCCTGCATTCCCGGGGGTTGTCCCTTGCCCACGCCTTCCCAGGGACAACAGCGGCACTGACCGATTCTACAGAAGTCGCCTTCCCATCCGGGGCTGCAGCAGCACCTGCCGGTGGGGGTGCAGTGGCCGTTCCGACACAGCCGGGGGCACTCCGACGTCAGGGTCTGGGCGGGCTGCACCGTGGCTCTGCACTCCTCAGGCATCAGAGGTCTGTGTTAAAATACAACCGTTGAAAGAGCATTCTGGTTGGGATGAAGTGTAGTGATTTGGTAGCTTACGCAGCGTGCCTCTTGCTTTCTAAAGAGACCTTCCTTTGAAGCGACTCAGACAGGAAGGTTGAGAACTTTCTAAGAATAGAAAACACACACTGCCTTTGAGGAAACAAACCAACCAGTTTTGAACCAAAGGGAACATTTTAAACATTGTAAGAAACTTTATCATGATCAAAATTCGTTGACTAATAAGGTAACTAGGTTACACTGATATTTTGGTAGCTAAGAATTTTTGCAATTACAATTTTAAAAATAAAGATGAACAGGTATTTTAAAACTCCTTTTTTCCCCCTCCCAGAACTCCAAATATTTTTAGGACCAGTATCTGAGATAGGTTTCACAAGTCATTGGCATATTTGGCAATATCACAGTTGAAGGCAGCCACCAAAATGAGCACTTGTAGACTAAAAAGCTTAGGAATCTTCTTTTGTTTCACTCTTACATTTCTTTTGAGATGCTTTGCCTAGAATGATTGTTCTTGAAAGGACAAGGATAATATATGTATGTGTTTACAACTGATTCAAAGTTTAAACTCTTTATGCAAAGAATGAGATATATAAAGATTTTACATACGTATATGTATTTACGTATTTTTATAATTTGATTTTGTCCCACTATAAAGAAAAAGAATGCTAATAGTAGCAAACAAAAACATCTCACCTCTCATGTAAAAAGTCATAGACTTTGTTTTAATTGCTCTACGGCTGTCATTATTTAGAGAGGGACCGAGATGCCTTCAGAAGAACATTTTCACAGTTCTTACTGTTTTTGAATGAGATGCTATCTTTCAAGCTGGTTCAGGCTGAAATCATGCTCACAACTGCTCATTACCTAATCTTTGGGAAAAAATGTCGTGGTACTTGTCTACGAGTCACTGAGACCTGTGCCACAGTTGTGGTGAGAAAGCTCTTTCCAGCGAAAGAATGTAGACTGACAGCTTCCTCACCAGTCACATCACCACCATTAGGATAGTCAAAGCAGCTGGAGTCCTTAAACACCCTCTCAAAGAAGATGATAATTATAGGTCAAAACCACCGCAAGAGGTAAGTGATACAGCTTTCCGAGAGAAGCAAATAATTAAGCCTTGAGAATCAGATTTCTTGAGACAGGTTCTCTTGTTATGCCCCTAAGGCAAGATGAACAGTGATAATTTGGAGCCTGACCTCAGGTTGTTTCTACAATGGCTCAAAACCATATTAAAATATATATAATGACTTCTTTAGCGCCTCTCTCCAATAAAATCCCACTCTACACTGAAGGTGTTGCGTTTTGCAACTAACCTGACAATTCAGAAAACTCCCTTAAATCTCTTTGACCTCTCTTTAAATTTAGAAATGGTCGATTCATGTGAAAGGTACTTAAGGCATTCCACATGTTCCTTCAGAACACATTACCAGATATTCCATGTGCTCCCAATGGAGTCCTTCTGGGAGTAAGGAAAGAGTGTGATAGGTGGAGAAAATGTTAAATGGTCATGCCAAGGAAAGTGAGGGCATCATCTGTGCTTGCTTATTGTTGAACAGCCCATGTCTGCTCTATTTCTTTCTCGTTTTGTTTGTGAGATGATGGTCGCATTTTTGACCATCAGAAGAGCAGTTTTCAGGAGTCATAAACTTCTTCTGATTCCCAAGCCACCATCATTTACTGAGTGATATTCAGTGAACAGGTATTGTTCCAGTTTTACTGGTGACTGAAATTCTGTTTTTCCAGTTCTATTTGTTACTCACTCATTCATTCTTTTTCTGACTCATTCAAAAGAAGGGACCCAGAGGTAGAATGTGTCAGGAATGTTACATGTTCTATGTGATGCAAAATATGCAGGCACATAGCTCATGTGACGATATGGTTTAAGCCTGAGTAGATGAAGCTAAAGAGAAGACAACGTGGAGATCAATAATGAAAAAGAATACGAAAAGGAATATATATATATATATATGTATAACTGAATCACTATGCTGTACACCAGAAATTAACACAACATTGTAAGTCAACTGTAGTTCAATAATAAAAAAAAATTATACCCACAAAGCTATAGCTGCTCAAAAAAAGAAAAAAGAAGAATGCAGGTGACTTTGATTAAACAACAACCAGAAGATGCTGTCTGTCTGAGACAAAGGGTAGGGACACTGACGCAAGTGCACTGGGAAAACATAAGGGGATGTGATGCCTATGGATTTATTACTGAAACGCACTTCTTCAGGGCAGGGTATCTGATCCTTGTTTCCTAGCTGATCCTCCAATTAAATACTTTGACTATTTTTCACCAAACATTCAAATATGTGGACACTGAGATTGTGGAGGGAGTTCTAAGTTGTTTTTTACCTGAGACTGAGCAAATGCTTATCTATCTGTGGTTGGGATTACTTCATCCTTGGGCTTACTTAGCTTATCTAAGACTGTGTGGTTGTCATTTATAAACATGATGGTTCCCTTACATTTTTATTTAATTAGCTAGGAAAATGATCTTTATTTCTCCTTTATGAAGTTGATAACTAATATTCCTCACTTAGCATGTTAAATAAATCCCCCCTCCTTTTAGACTGTTATTCTATTGGGGAATCCTTTAATATGAAAAGTTACATAAAACATAGCTCATCACTTACAGGACTTCACCTCTCTGAAGGAACGAGTTGTCCTATTTCCCCTTCCCCATTGACATGAAAGCTTCCTGGGGGCACAAACTACATATTCAACCCTCTTCAAGTCTAGTCATTTACTCTGCAAGGGACTGTGCTCTTCGTGGGGATAAGACAGAAACAAAACAGGGTTCTGATCCTCATGGAGACCACCATGGGGGAAGACAGACAGGCAAACACAAAAGTATTTAGTATTAATTTGGGATTGAGGGATGTTGTAGAAAGATAATATTTAAGCTACTGAAGTATCTTATCTCCTTCAACTACTTATAATCATAGGAGCTAGGAAAATACCATATAAGCATTTGATAAACGTTTATCAAACTAAATTAAATGTATATAGTAGAAATTTTTTCAAATACATTTTCTGGACTATAAACTCCATGAAGACAAATATTTCCCTCTCTTCTCTCGTGTCTTTTCTGGACCTAGAAGACTATACAGCACATGGAAGATGCTTCTTAAAAATCTGTTGAATGAGTAAATGAGATTAATGGGATTTTAAAAGGATGTTTGTTTCTTTAAAATGCTATTGAGTGACAATATTCAGGATATGTGGACTATTTAGGGGAGGGATAACATTAAACTCAAATCCCTGTACTTCTATATCATAAGCATAAAACTAAAAACACTCACTGTATTTCTCTCTATTGTCTAAGTTAACTCAAATGTTACAAAATTCTTCTAAGGCATGATTAAACTCATTTTAAATAAAGCATTTTTACACTAATTATAATCATAATAAATAAACAACAGGCTAAGAAGTAAGCATGACATAAAGAGAGATGATTGTTTTCTCCTCCAGCTGGGAATTAAGTCAGCATATGAAAATTTATTTTTCTAGTAATATATTTGGGAAAGTCTGACAAAGGTTTTTGGTGATGCCAACCATCCGTCTCCTCTCCACCCACTCTTTGTTCTAGTGACATTTCTTCCTTCCATTGAAAAGAATGGGGTTCCTTTACATGGAATGAGGAGAAGGAAAGGGAATAAAACACGTTCATTTGAAATTTACTATTATTGTCACCTTGAAACAGACCATCTTGTGTATTCATAATTTCCACATCTATACACCTAGACCTGCACAAAAATCTGGAGTATATACCTATGATAGATTAACTCATTTTTCATTCTTATTTTTACTGGACTAGGAAATTGGGTGTTTTAATGCAGGCCTAATAAGAATTGCTTAGTCTTGTTCTTCTTTGAAACAATTACTTTCTAAACTTTTGGATCCTTAGCTCTACTGAATGAAGTCTGAGGTAGCTTTCAAACTAGAAAATTTACCCAAAAGGATACGTAGGTTTGAAATACACAATATATGGTGCCCATTTTTTGACAGTTATCCCCAAAGTTCTCAAACTTAATGTAGATCAGAAGAACACATTTCCCAGTCCTTTACACATGACAAATAATGAAACACTAAAGGGCTAGAGCAGAAAATTGTCCGACATTTTTTAACGTATAAAGCATTGTTTTCAGAAATGTAAGACATCTTCTCAGAAACGTACTTTGGCTGGTTTTGTGTTGTAGCGTAAAGCTTCAGATACTTTCTTGAAATAAAGGAGGAAGTTGAAAAGCCTGAGTAATTTATAACACACATCATATGTGATGACTTTGTGAACAGCTAAGGCCAACTGTGAATGTCTCCCGGGCAGTGGGATGAAGGATGGTTTTAATTTTATGATTTTAATTTAATAAATGAATGAACCAATCAATTATAAGAAGTCTTCTGTGCATTTGTATAGAAACACAGGGGTAAATTCTGTCTTGGCAGCCCTGCTCTTCGGAGTGAGTGATGCAGAAATCTATCTACTGTGTCTTTTACAAAAAGTAAAGGGACTCATTCTGAAATTTTTGTTAGGGGTCTGGATTTTTAATTTGTGTTACTATAAAACAAGGCACATAGCTCATGAGTCATACTCATTTATAAAATCCTAACTCATTGGAAGTTTCAGAAGGTGTAATAATTCCATAGCTTCTCTCAGTCAATCTGCTTGAGGTGATGAAGGAGGTGCTGTTAGAACTGTCTTATTCTTTTATCCATATTCACTTTGGGGCGCATGGAAAAGTGTTCCCTTGTGACTGTAACCTTGGCAAAACTGTTTTTCTCCCGTGCTTTTTCCCATTCTCGTGAGGCAGGAAAAAACTGCTAAGTCTAAATCCTCAGTACTCAGTGTGGTCCCAGAGCAGTAGCCCCAGTGTCACCTGGGAGTTTGTTAGAAATGCAGACTCTCAAGGACCCCAGCTCTTAGACCTACAGAATCAGAATCTGCACTTCAGCCAGCCTGTCAGGTGATTC